GTGTGTGTGTGTAAATGTGTGAATGTGGCATGTAGCGTAAAGTGCTTTGAGTGGTCGGAAGACAAGACAGTCCATTTTCATTTACCATGTAAGAATTTTTAAACATACTTTCGATTTATTGGAGTGTAATTAGAGTTCAGTGTGGTCTGCAAGTAACATGCGTGCTTTATTGGACTGAGGTCATATGATTGACTTAGTTCAGAACACTAAATCTTTTGACCTTTCTTTGGCTGTATGTAAAGGATTATTGGCTACATGAGGAATTCTGTCCAATGAATGTTTGTTTGTGTTTTCATCTTGTGAGTGAGATACAGTGAGAAACCTGTATGTGATTACCGGGTTCTCACTGCACGTTTTCTGCAAACTGTAATCTGGCCTTTGTATTCTTGAGGCTCTGCATCTTGTGGTAACCCTCTGTGTTTATGCTGAGTGAGCTCTACAATTAGTCAGCTACATCCTGTAGAGTGTTTTTTTATCTTTTGATTTGTTGTGCTTGGGTATTTCTACAACCTCCAGAAGACCACTGCACTTCATATCTGCTGTGTTCATCGGTGTAATCTTCCTTAATAACAATATTATACACAGAAAAACAAATATTAGTTTAGTACCAAAACAGTTGACTTTTAATACATTATTTTTTCTGCCTCAGTTTTTTTTTGCCTGATAGTCTGCTTCACTGCCATTTCCTTTTCCTCACTGACATGTCCTCGCATTGAGAGGCAGTAACAGACGTCACACCTAGACTCAGCTTCATATCCTTAACTTTATTTTCTGCATATCAAGTAATTATGAAAGGAAACACCTTTCAGCATTGATGTACAGTTTATTTTATGTGGATTCAAACACCCTAACATGTAAACTGGAACAATGAGGTCAGAGTACAAAGAGAGTGGGTTGTTGCATAGAGATGTTCATTGTTTTTTGTTCTTTCCCCCATCCTCTCTCCATTTCCATCTGTCCTAACTACTCTGATTCCCATTTCATTCCTGCTCTTCGGTTTTTACTAAACCTTTTTTCCTCTTCAGTTCTTCCTCACTCTCAGCCCTCCTCTTGCTCCCCCTCTCCAGCTCTCAGCACAGAGAGTCTGTCTTCAGGCTCAGACCACAGCTCCTCCCAGCCCCCGTTGGGTGGCAGTGCCAGCAGCGACCAGCAACACGCCTTCACCAAGAGTGTCTCAGAGCCCTCCATCTGTTCACCGTGCGACTCTGCGGCCTCTCCTTCCTCCTCCTCCTCAGAGCACCTGCCTCATCCCTCCCCAAGCCCTGTCCCTTCTCCAATGCCATCAAATGCCAGCTCAGCTCCAGCCACCCCACAGACAGGTCGCAGCTTGGGGACCAAAGGGGCCGGAGCCCCTCCACCACGACCACCGACGACTCCCAGCCCATTGGCCTCAGCAGCCACCCAGTCACACAATAAGGTAACAAGGACCACCCACAGATAAAGCAATACAGAGCAGTACATTTTGCACTTTATATTGCAGCTGTATTCTCTTTCCTCATTTTAGCGGATCTGTAAAGAGAACCCGTTCAACAGGAAAGCCTCTCCCTCCCCTGCAAAATCCAAATCCAGACCACCAAAAGGCCCACGTCCCGCCAGACCCCCGGCCCCTGGTCATGGCTTCCCTCTTATTAAACGCAAGGTACGAAAACTAAAGAGGAATGTATGCTGCATGTTTTAGAATTGAAAAAATGTATAGACTTTATTTTTTTTTTCTGCTGAGGAAGAAATACTCAAATGATCCAAACATTCACCCAGGTGCAGTCAGATCAGTACATCCCAGTGGAGGACATCCACGGGGAGATGAGTCAGCTGGAGAAGCAGCTGGATGCACTGGAGCAGAGAGGAGTGGAGCTGGAGAAGAAGCTGAGGGACAACCCTAACGGTAACATACAAACATCTCACCCAAAGAAAATGGGGTGAAAAAGCAAGATCCATAGATTTGATCTGAAAGAACAATGCATAATAACAGAAACATAATAAATATCTCTGTGCTCCCCTTTTGTGTTTTCAGATGAGGATGAGGAGCACCTGTTGGTGGACTGGTTCACTCTCATCCATGAGAAACACCTTTTAGTACGACGAGAAGCTGAGCTGGTCTACACGTAAGCTTTAGACTGTAGCAAGGGACTTATTCGGTTATGTAATAAGCTCCCATGCTTCAAGATGTTAGTTCAGTTAAGTTCAGTAGTAAATTAGAGAGTAAGAGTGTGTAACGTACTGTGTGAATGTTTCTCACTGCAGAGCAAAACAGCAGAACCTGGAAGAGAGGCAAGCGGATGTGGAATATGAGCTGAGGTGTCTTCTCAACAAACCAGGTGTGTTTTCCCTTCAGAGAACGTGTCGTCGTTTTTGTGTAATGCTTGACTCATGTTACAAAGCTAATTACTGCCACCCACACTTTACAGTACACTATATTTTCTTATCTGTAACAAAAAGAGTTCATTAAAACCTACTCAACTTTATAACAGCTGCATCATATTTTGTATTATTATTTCTTTTCTATTAACATAAACCGAACTCCTCCTGTAGTACTTACATTCACTGTTCAGGTGTTCAGGCATACAGTACACTGATCAACAGAGGGCTTTCTGTTCACGTGAATCGACATTTTATATTAATTGAAAGAAAACCAAAATGAAATCATTCATTGTCATCCCTTCCCTCCTCAGAGAAAGACTGGACAGAGGAGGACAAGAGTCGGGAACAGGAGCTAATGGCGGAGCTGGTTACCATCATTGAACAGCGCAACCAAATTGTGAACAACATGGACCAGGACAGGCAGAGGTAATCAATGACTGGAATTTTAACTGTGAACCTCGGCACTGACCCAGAGTGTATTGATCAGTGAACTTTGCAACTACCAGCAATCTAACAGTCATTCTGTCACAGGGAAGAAGAGGAGGATAAACTTATCGGAGCCATGCTGAAGAAAAAAGGTAGGATTAAAAAAAAAAATCAGCTTCATTTTTTAGCAGGTTAAAGATTCTTTAGATAGAAGCATTCAGTAAACATAAATGTTGTATCTCACTCTTTCTTCTCTCACTTACTCTTATTGTTTTCTGATTATAGGACCTGTGTGAATCTTAACCTCATTTTCTCTATTTTCATCCTAATCAGACTTCAATAAGGACCCAGAGGGCGAGCAGCAGCAGCAGCAGCAGCAGAAGAAAAAAGGGGCAAAGTTCAAACCCATTAAGGTGCTCAAGAGGCTGAGCCATAAAGGAGAACCAGGCAAGAGCCCCCACAAGGAGAAAACACCATAAAAAGGACAAATTCTCCTCCCAGAGGACATGAGACTATTTTAATAAAATGACGGAGGAAAAAAAAAAAAAGATGTGAGGAAAGAAATATATCAGGTCAATAAAATCAAAGATATGTATACAAAAGACGCCGCATCGGCCGCTGGATGATACTTCGCCACCGTATTGGACCGGGCAAGACGGGCCTTGCGACGATCCGAACAACGGGCCAAAGCGGCGTCTGTGTATACATGTCTATGAATAAGATGAGGTCTCATTTAACTGTCATTAATGACTTGAAGTGCAGCCCTGTATCCACTCCCTGCTCGCATCTTACTTCACTATTTTCCGTTGTGTGTTTTTAAAGAGACACTACAACAACTCAACGCTATTAGAGCTGATATGTCTGTGAGCTCTCTGACCTGTCAAGCTAGGATGTATGATTCGTATGATTCGTAATTACTGCACTGATGTGTTCTGTATTGCTTCGCTATCCTTGCATTGCACAGCGTCTGTAGGTCTTTGTCAAGGCTCGGCAAAAGTGCGATTCGTCAGTTCCCTTTGAATGAAGTCAGTTGGATGCAAGTTTTTAATGTTTTAACTCTGCTCCTGATGTACTCTCCTTGAATAGCTTTCTCCTCCGCTCTGTGATTCCAATGGTTAGTAGATGGATATCTGAGAAGGTTTCATGTCATGTCTGTCTGTCTTCATCCTGTGGTACTAGCGAAAGAAAAGTTTTTTTAAGATGTACTCTGCTTTAAATTTTACCCTTGAAATGCTCAATCAACAATGGATACCTAAGCTCTTCTAGCTGCTATGTTATGGTTGTTTGTGGTTTCCTTGTTTTTCGTTTCTTCAGTGATAGTTTAGTGAGGTCATCTGTTTAAATGCGTATCATTGAAGATGTAGATGAGTGTAGATAGAGTATTTATGGGTGTGTGTGACTGGAAGCAAAGTGGGAGACTCAATAATTTAGAAAATGTGAGGTGAGGAGGAGTCATTATAGAAAGTATTCAACTTCAGAAGTCTGTTAGAAAATGTATTAATATAAAAGGTCACACATACAATAATGAATATTAGACATACAGTACAGTTAACAACTGTAGCAGAACCAGCTACCAGTTTATAACAGTTTTAACCATTGGGGAAAACCTGAATATGCAATCATTAATTTATATTTTACTATGCCTTTCTGTATGTTTCCATGTTTTGCCTTAAAAGTATAAAAGTAAAAATGTTAATATTGTTTGTAAGAGTGCCATTTATTTTATTGCATATGTGGATGAGCGTCATTTGTTGGAGCTAATGTAAATGTCAGTATGTTTACTCATTCTGTTCCTGTTATGTTATTTAGATTGTCTATTTGTCCTCCATTTTAAATGGTAATCTCTGTTCTGTCTGTTTGTGCTCTGTGCCTGTCCTCCTGTCCGGCTGAAACCAAGGGCTTCTGTAGTGCCACATTTCTGTCAGCTATACATGGTCCTAAAACAGCAGCGGGATTATACAAAATACTGACACTGGAAGGCAGAGGAATAAAATAACTTAATGCAAGAATGTCATGTTTTTTTTTTGTAAATTTAATGCTTCCACAGTTTTGTCTCTTTGCAGACATCACTACACACTCATATTACTGGACGCATTCATACTCTGAATTTAAAGTTATATTGCTTGCACCTCATTTCCAAGAGTTCAGTCAGCGGCTGTGAGTCTTATCTCCTCCTGTCTCTTTACAGTTCATGTCTTCTGTTATCTGCTCTGCAGTCTGCCCTTTTCTCTCAGATGCCATTGGGTCCTTTTTGGGACTGCGGGTCTCGTTCAACATCTCCAGCTCTCGAATTTTCTGTTAGTAGAGTGGTGACACAGCACAGCACAAGTGCGATCGCGTTTGAGAGAGAATAACTATTACACTCTCTGTCAGTGTGTATGAAATCTGAACCTAATTTCTTAAATACAGACTGGTTGCCATGTTAAGGACCGTTTACGCTACTATTGATCTGTCTGTCAGCATCTATAGAACATCACATTAAACATTCAGAATGATAAATTCACACCTGTGTTAAAAGCTTTTTCAAAACCCATAATAAAAACAAGTCAATTTGTAAATCATACCTGGGATATCTCCGTGTTGATGATGTGGATATACTGCTTCTCCTGGCCCAGAGAGGCCATATCTTCCAGAAACTGTCTTCTCTCCTCTATCTCATCCAGAACTTCAAAAGAAACAAACAGGTTAATATTAGACTTACATGGTGCTGGATATATTTAGTCAGGCAGAGTAGCTCAGAGCAGAATTTAATTCAGACTGAGATAAATGGAAACAGACTCAACTTGATCTTGTTCTCAGAGACAAAACTTCTTAATTTAAATGCAGTGTGTTTTCCTCCCTGTTACAGCAGCTATTCTTCTACATCATCTGTTTCTGTACAGTCAGCCTCACCTTCCTGATACCGGTCTCTCTCCTCTGCCACCCCTCGGTTCTGACAGGCAACATATTGCAAAGATCCAACTGTGGGCTCTTCTTGTCCCGTTGCTAAAATATTCTGAAGCCTCCTCTTCTCTTTCTCTAAGTCTTCTAGAGTGCAATGGAGAAAGAAAGCGACAAGAAGATTTAGTGATGAATGACCTGCAGTTTATCACCATTGTTTGCAATTTAGGCCCGTCAAAACACACAAATGCAGAACTTATGATGGCGTCAATTTCAAGAACATACTTGTAGGACCAGGACAGAATCTTTCTCTGATGTAGCTGTTCCCAGAGCGACAAGATTCAGCGCTGCGTCTCAGAGGCTTGGCTGGCAGGTGTTTCTGGATGGATTTACTGGTTTTAGGCTGAGGCTGGGAACCTGATGCTGTGGGGTCAGAGGTCAGTGGTAAAGCTGCTCCGTCTGAGGGGGAAAAGTTAAAAAAAAAAAAAAAAAAGCAGCAAAGTCAGTTCAATGCTCATTGGACAATTGCCCATTTTAAATTTGAGCACTGCGGTGGTCAGCTGAGTTTTGCAATAACAATATGTGGTGAGCACTGTACCACATTCACAAAATATAGAAAATATTTGTTTTTCTGTGTATAATATATAACTATCACACAAATTATCCCCCAACCCCTCATCCAAAGGTTTCAAACTTACTCTTGAGGCATTCATTGATCTGTTTTCTCTGGAGGTTGGTGAGCCTTGATTCCTGCATCATCACTGAGCAAGAGATTAAAATATAAAACACTTGAACACACACACACACACCTCCGTCAACTCCTCCGTGTGTTTACCATCCACACCAGAAAATCAACAACAAGTGCATCATCTCACATCTCATCATGTCCTGGGTCTCCTTGCTGTACTGGGTGGCTCTGGGGTTGTTCCACAGCCCCCCACCAGCTGAGCTCTGTGAGGACGTCTCCATCTGCAAGACACACACAAAAAGAGATTATCCTCAATCTCTGGGGCTTCGTTTCCTCTTATCTCTGTCTTATTGAAAGCTCGCGCTCAGTTTTAATTTGTGAAATCTCTTCACAGAGAGACTGGCTGTGGTGATGTCATTCAAAGACACATCCTGGAGCTGCTCCATAGACAATGACTGACAACTCCTATATGACAGCAGCTGCACTGCTTTAAATGGACATGCGTTTAAACTAAACAATACAAGTTATTTGTATGTGATATTATGTTAAATATTAAAAAATAATAGCAATGGCATCAATAAAAGTACTGATTCTGTAGGCCTAAAGACACACTTGTAATTGTAGATACTGACCATGGCCTTCTACTTCATGCCCCTTAGCTAAACTGATTACCTAACGTTAGGTTGCTAACAACCGTCAGACGTCGAAGGATAAGAAGTAGACTCTACAAGAAAGAAACGCATGTAAAGAAAGGATATAACTTGACAAAAGTGAAGGAACTTACTCAAACTGTGCAGCTTTTCTTATCACCAGTCCGTCGTGAACACTTTAGCAATAGTTTGCTAACGTTAGCTAATTATTCAAACTCCAGTGTACACAACAGTCTGTTGCTATAGCAACCAAGTAGCTACGAGCAGCACAGATCATTGGTATTAGATCACTGACTGTATGCAGTGTGGATAGAAAGCACTTTTTGCTCCTGACTTCAGATGTTTTAAACAAGTTTCAATGTCACATCAACCTATTCTAAACACTGTGATGGTTATTTGTTTTAAACTTGTCATTTTCTTGTGTCGCTGAAGGCGCGTTGACACCATGTGGCCACTAGATGGAGACAAAGACAGTTTGTGTTGATACCGCCATCTGTTACTATTGATAATATGTAAAACGAGTTTATTATCTTGGTGATACACACAAATATACCAAACCCAAAAGGAATATTATGAGAAAGAATATTCAAACAAGTTGTATGTGGAGAGGGGATCACATTTAAATAGAATAGAGACTCAATATAAGTGATCTTTGTCATTAAAGTGGGAATAAGAAGGCTCTGTATGCAAAGCCTAAAAGTCTCAACTCTTTTCATGTTTTATTTTGTGTTTTACAAACAACTTTATAAGCATTTTATTATAATGATAAATTCATAAATTATATTGGGTGTGATATATGGTATTATTTTGGCATCAAGCACAAATGTTTTCTTCTCGTGGTGTCTTATGATAACATCCTACTCACACAAATTCACAAGTTAGTCTCAGGCCTTTGGAAATGAACTGTCCTTTGGCAAACTAACTAACAAACTGCAGATGAACTGTTAGTGATGCGTTTAAGGTCATAAAGAGGCCATTTTGTGAAACCGCCACCACATTTTAACTTGTGTGACTCGTGTCGGGGATGTCTTGTGCAGTCGTCACTCGGAGGGAAAGAGAGAGTCTTTATCAGTGGTGGGCTCGTCATCGGGGATCAGCAGCAGTCAGGAGCCTATTATCTGTGGGAAGACAGCAGCCTGCCTCTGCCCCATGTCAACAGATAAACAGCAGCCAGACTATAATCACCTTTCACACATAGGTCTTCTCAGAAGTCAGGGACGCACGTCCTCACTGAGAAGACAGAGACCGACCTGTGTATGTGTGTGTGGAGAGTTAAAATTATCAGAAGTGTTGGCTCAACAAAGGCAATGAGGTTTTTATTGCAGACTTAGAAACTGAATCATGAACTATTGCATATTGTTTGTTTATGAGCTATACCAAACGGCTTACCTGTTTACTATTATTTACTAATATCTTGTTATATTACTTATTCACATTGAATGTCTGTAAGTAGCTCTGTAAATACAGATCAAAGACACATCCAGTGAGATCTCTGCTGGATAGAACATTATATCTAACACGTTATTCACCGTTCATGCACCAACACACTCTGCACTCTGTGCCAAAGTGTGCTTTATGAGATAGTGGCTAACATGAGCTGTTCACTAGTGAATGAAAAATAACACAGAGAGCCCTGCAGTGTTAGGGGCTCATTTTGTAGTGGCTTGAGTAATGGTTCATTTTGTATTACTTCTAGTTAATTATTACTGCATCCTGATATATCTATAGAATGATTTTTATGTATTATTGCTATTAATTTCTTGTGGTTTACAATTACAACATTGCAGCTAAAGGCAATATCAATTGTACAAAGTTGTTCAAATTACTATGGTGAAAAACTGTTCATAATAATAGCTGATGGACTATGTTAACTACAAGGGTAGTTTTCAACTGTTGTACTTCTTATGTGAAGACTTAACATTGAAAGCAGTCAGTCCACAAGTTTCAGCAAATGTTGAAGCTTATTTCTCTTTAAATATTCTGTTAAGTACACATTGAAAAGATGATTTGATCTGCATTGATGTTACATTCATATTTATGGTATCCGTCTGAATATAAAAATAATCATTTAAAGACTAATCATTTAATAAGCTAATGTTTGTTGGCAAAATGACAGCTCATCAGTTTTGACTTTTTGCTCTGAAACCCACAGAACAGGAAGACACTGAGTTTGAGGTGAGATAGTAAAGTGTTTTTCTGATTGTAAAAGAACAATCTTAAAGGATGAAGAAGAGGAACGAGCTAAATAACTCACTCACATACGCTCCACCTCCTAACGGTCAAAACCTACATGAAAAAGAGAGATTTGAAGTTAGACTTGCAGCTGACAGAGATAGACAAGAGAGAGGAGGGCGAGATAGCAAGTCAGCTTTAAGATCCTGTTTCTGCGGCCTTTCAGCGCTGAGTGGACTGTACCTGGGATGTGTGGCCTGGTGAGCTGGGGTTTGACATTCTGTTAGCTCAGTGTTTAATATGGTCATGTGAAAAAGAAAGAGAACAAAAAAAGAAGAGAAACTTCATTTTTGCTGCTCTCACTGTCAATCGGCGTCATATCAAAGTGCTTGATGGCTGTTACACAGGCTGTGCTCCCTTCCTTCAGCTCCTTCTCCAACCTCGCTCACTCCAGTGACAATATGAAAGTAAGTATCGGGTTCACTTCAGTCCTTTCATTCCTACACAGTGACAGAAACAACAAACTTGATATAAATAGTTATTTGTGTTACTGTAAGAGTGGACAGCTGGAACCAAAGCAATACATGATATTCCATATCTGAGAATATCATAAAAGTTATGTAACCCTTTGCCTTGAATAATCTATATTATTGTGATGATTACTTGTAAATGAGTCTTCACAAATGTGCACTACAATGCTGAACTTGTGAAATGTCCCACTTTAAATTTCAAACTTTTACATCACACCTGCTGAAAGCATTAGTCTTGTATATCTTCCTTACCTCCTTTGCTTTAATGGGATAGGAATAGGCTTGCACATCTAGTATTTCTTATGCAGGTGCATCAAAGAGTAGAGTTATGAGAAGTCATACACTTTTGGTTGTTGTTTGGGAGGGATTTGGTCAAATCTTGCTCATTCCTATAGAAGTTTAATGCACTTATTGTAAGCTGCTTTGGACGAAACCAGTTTTTTCAAGTCTATCTCTCATGCCCATATGTACAGTGACACTGTACAATACAGTGAGTTATTGGTTGCTGTAATTGCTCCTGCGCTCCATGGCTGCAAAGAAATTCCTTCCTAATACAAAAAATAGACAAAATCCACAGCCCTTTTTCTGTGCAAAAAATCACTTTAAAAGTTCTGTTGAGTTAGACAAATCAATCTTTTAAATCTTGAGTCTTTTTTGTACAAAATTCCCTCTCAGAAAGTTTCCTTTCTGAGCCATGGTGGAGGGAACATAAAGTTTTGTACTAAATTTGGAAGATACTCACTTGATTTGATTAGCTCAGACTGCTTAATTCACACAGTAGCTTCAGATGAACTTTAGAATATATTTTTACACTAATCAAGGACTGTGGATTTTGTCCCCCATCACTTACATTGGACGTGTATTAGTGAATGAATTCAGTCAGGATACTCAATGCACCTGTGTCAGCTGTGCCTACTTTCAGGGAGTGTGCTCTTGTGCTCCCCAATCCAGCAGTCATGTGACCTTCACCTCCAACAGTACATATAGACATGCAAGTATTATTTTAAGATAGACTTGATAAGATAGTGAACCAGTTTTTTAAATGCAAAAGCAATATGCAGCTATATCTAAAAATAACAACGTTTCAATGCTCTCCAACATCATCTAGGTGTGGAAGTCTGAGAGTGGCTCTCTCCCTCTGGACTCTCTAAGCAACAAACTCTCACCAAGCAGCTCTGAGCAGCTGCAGGTCTCTCAAAAAATGACAGAGGAGCTCCTGGACGATGATAGTCAGGCCTCCTGGGATATTGAGTTCCTGCTGTCTGACTGGAGCAGCCAATCGCCTGACCTCAACCCCTCTCTGGACAACAATGATCAACGGCTCCCACAGCTGGACACAAACAGAGCGTACCAAGAGGCGGCCATGTTTAAGGACCAACCGGGGCAGGAGCACCTGCAGATGAACAGTTGCAGCCTCATGGCGGATCTCTTGTCCCCTGCTGAAACCACAACGCCGGTCCAGCAAGAGCTGTACCACCATGATTATATTGATGACCAAACAGGTCTGACTTCATATCCCAGTCTACCTAATGTAGATCAGTTTGGCTTTCCCCAAGAAGGCAGTGTGGAGAGGCACAACAGAGGAAACCTCAGTAAAGTCTCATCATGTGACTTTAACCCTTACTATCCCCTGCATCACCCCTCCATGGTGACCTTCCCCGACAGCAGGTTCATACCACCCCAAGCTGTGGCCCCTGACCCTCGACACTACAGCTACATGCCACACTATAACCACAATGGCAACCTATTCTGTGACTACACCCACAGCCAGGCCGCTGGTCACCTGCCCCTTCACCAGCAGCCCCTACTCGGCGGACCACAGCTGCCCCCTGGTGGGGTGGAGGGGAAGCGTGGTCGAAGGCCTACAGGGAAAAAGAGGCCCGCTATCCACAGTTGTGAATACCCTGGCTGCAGCAAGACCTACACTAAGAGCTCACACCTAAAAGCTCACCTCCGCACGCACACAGGTACAACCCACTGACCCAACGACAGAAACAACAAATGAGTCTGTCACAATTAGTCTCAAAACAATGATTTAATGCATTTGTTTGGTATTCACCACCTGTTTTATTGTTTACTCTTCAGGGGAAAAGCCTTACCACTGTTCATGGGAGGGCTGCAGCTGGAAATTTGCCCGCTCAGATGAGCTGACGCGCCACTACCGCAAGCACACGGGCCAAAAACCCTACGAGTGTCTGCTGTGTCAGAGGGCCTTCTCCCGCTCTGACCACCTTGCTCTGCACATGAAGAGACACACCTGATGCTCTTAATTACCTCTTAATTCCACCTAAACAAAAATTTTAAAAGGTAGAACACTTATGATGACTTGGATATTCTTTGAAGTTTGAATTGACTGAACAGATACATTTGGGACCTCAGGTATTAGCTGAACATGTTCACAGTATTAACTTTAAATCTGTACTGGGTTTTCTGGCTGGTTAACAATACAGGCTCACATGTAAACATGAAATTATCTTTTTTTTGTATTATTAAAACGTTATTAATGATTGACTTAACCGATGACATTTAAAAGAGTACTCCACCATCGTTGCATGGCGCCTACAGTACCCACAATGCAGTTCTGTTGGACATTTATATGTGTTATGGAGCAATGTTTGGTTAGCTCACTTCTTTCTAACACCACACCCCTAATATGTTTTAAAATGTTTAAACTTGTACTCTTCAGCTCCAAACAACACTGATTCATTGACATCACTTAAGGCAATTTGTCAATTCTCACCTTAAAGTCCCTCCCAAACAAAGACCTAAACCCAAAAAACAAGATTTTGTCCTTACTCAACCTACTGAAGAATTGATGATCGGCCAAAATGTCCTCACTCTGATGTCTAAAAATCTGACTGGTACTTTTAAAGTACTTTGTGAGAACCAGCACAAGAACACGCTCATAATGTAAAGCTAGCACGCTTTCAGCAATAAGGGCCACTTACACTAACACTGTACACACTGTGGGCATGTATGACAGCAAACATTAACACTAACAGAAGACCAAAAAATGTGTGTGATATGGGTTATAATATAATACACTATAGTATATCCTATAGGATCTCATGGCATGCTGAACAAACGCTGAACAATGCTTGGCTGTATTACTGCTGAGATGGTCTGATATCTTTGTCTGATTTCCGTTAGAACTTTAGTTAATTACAATATCGATTGTAAAAAAACAAACAAATGATAAGGTATACGATAAACTATGTTGTTATACAGTGAATTCAGGGTTATGTATATTTGTCACATAACTTTATGTTTGTCTGTTTGGGGGAATTTTAATTTAAGAAAAAAAACATATATGCTTTTATCTCTCTCATCAAGCAGAATTTAAAACTGTAAATAATCTGCAGCTTTATTAGTTGTTTATAACCATTTAAAAATGAGCAACATATTTATTAACATAATGTTTTATATCAACAGAAGAAACTATATTATTATACAATGTTTTTTTATTCTCAAAAGAGTGCTTTAAAGTCTTAATTATTGTTTTCATTGTCATAATAAAGACCTCTAATGCTGTAAAACTGTCTGAGAATATGACATGATTTATTCAGGCAGCTGAGCAATAATATTACACCATCACAGTGTGGAGTTGTATGTTTTAAGTCTAATGTGCAGGTCATTGATTTCATCGCCATGATTTCATCCACATTTTAAATGCTGGGGGCACAGTAGCTCACCCAGTGGAGCGCACGCCTTATGTAGGCCGAGTCTGTACTCTCTGTCACCATCTGTCCTAACACATAAAGGCATCAAAAGCCAACATTTCTTTAAAAAACACAACAGTTCTGTCTGTCGATAAATCTGCCCTACAGAGCAGAATTAATGTTTATTTTCCCCATGTGATCCCATTAACAGAATATATCTGGAATATGATTGTAGCTTAGACCTTTTCATGTGAGTCATTCTCACAAGCCCTCATCTTTTTTTATTTGACAGTGGCAAAACCCAGTTGAGAAATGGACATATATAAAGTGTAATGTCAGCCTTTGGTCTTTAGGTGGCAGTCTCCTGTTATTCTAACCCTCTTGCCTGCAGGCGGGCATCAGCAGGCTGTTGGCAGTTGTGTCTGCAGTGTTTCTAATCTGAGTGAGGGTGAGGTTAGGACGAGAATCCGTTTATGTAACTCAGCACTCACTGATTCATTCTGATTATGTCAGATGATGGAGGTCGTCATCACATTACGGAGCGACCTTTCTTTTTTCAGGTTTTACAGCAATATATTTTGCTGGTTGTTGTATCAAGTTTAATGGTTTAATAGGTTTTTATTTATTCCTACTTGGCTGAAAGGAAGGTACAAACACACTGGTTTAGGTGTAGTGATTAACCTTTATTTGGTACAGCAAATTAGCTTCTTGGTGTACTATCATGGCTATGATAAGCTTCTTAAACCTGCTCATCCAAGATGGCATGATAGCAGACGTGCTTGGCAATGAGCCCGTAACACACACACACACATATTAATGCCCTACTCACAGCCAAATATACACACATGAAGTAGTCCTGATAATTATAGTGCTAAAGATATACTTGGCAATTAATAATCTGCTATCCACTAAGACTGTACTCGCATAGCAAGATAGTACACATCAGCAAATACATTCACAGCACTTCAATAACAGGTTAGAGATGGTCATGAGGCTCCATCTGTGGCATTAGTTTATTTTAGTGTGGCATTCAAGGATAAGTGATTTGCGATTTAGAGGTAACACGAGGACAGAGGCGGAGTTCTGACCTGTAGTGCCCCGAAAAGAACAAACAATCAAACTCTTACACAAATCCCCTCTCTACTTCCACTTTCTAGTTCCTCCTTCCCTGTTTACATCATGTTATGCTCAGAGAGGGTATTATGTAGGCATTATGCATTCATGACAATATTCAAGTGTTAAATGTGAAAAACAAGCAGTGAAGCATGACCAAGATGTGAAATGTTAAGCTATGAAATATTTAGATGTTTTCTTTCTGTGTGAGCAGCGGGCAGCAGCTAAACTGGTCAAAGGTGAAAAAATGTCATTATTATAATGTTTGTTACCAGGCCAAGGCTTAAAACCTGGATACAATTCCAATAATGCAATTGTTTTTTTGGCATGCATTGGGTTTCTATTAGCAAGTGACAACTGCTCTGTAGAGTTGTTGTTGAAAAGTTTCCTTTTCTGTAAATCCCCACTGGTAGATTATTATTGGGAAAAGCTCATTAAACCACTTAATTGAATTGTTTTATGAGAAACAACACATTTTCCTCATTTCGTAATTTTCTTCCATGTTTCATCAACATGGGAACAGAACGAACACTTGAATGTTAAGCAGCTGAAGGAAGGTTTACTGCGAACAGATGCGTAATTAAATTCCCTCTCTCTGTCTTGTTTTCCTCCGTGGAGAAATGCAGATTAATCACTCTCTGTGTATGACTTTTCCCCATGCAGAGGACATTTCAGGACACTTGTTTAATCAAATGAAAAAGGAAGAAGCAGAAAGAGGTAGTCAACGCGATTAGTCAGTAGTCACACATACTACTCATAACAATAATAATAATAAAATAATATAAATGATACAAATAATCCATCTCTGTAATGGATTTAAATTCATATGCTATACTTAAGCTTACTTAAACGTAACTTGTGCTTTATATTAAGCTGTTAAGTTATATAATTTCCTCTTTTAGCAGTTGTTCCATGAATGAGCCTTTTTGTGTTTACTTTTCCTTGAACTCTTTGTGGTCAGAAGACACGAAAATAGCTAATTTAATTCATGCACATTAAAGAAAAAATCCGTGAAACATATTTGTGTAATTGCATATAATCCACATGACATCAAGACTCTAAGATATTTATAGCTACAGCTGTTACATAATTTAAAACCAAGACAACATTTCAGCTATAAACATTTTAGTCAATTCTATGCAAACCCTTACAACTTAACTTCCTTCAAACATTGTATTATTTCCTTGTCCTGCAGGCGCAGACGATAACGTCCAATAAATTGTATCAGTGTGCGCATAACAACAGTGTTACTGAGAAGAAGCAGGGACACACGCACACACACACACACACACACACAGTCACAGACAAACCAGCACTTAGATACCGTTCACTGTACACTATATTGTAGCATTAATATTTTAGAAGCTCTGCCTCTCCAGTGAGCATCTATAAATGGATTTTCTCTGCATTATTAAATCCTGCTACTTCTGGACAGCACTGATGCCAGCGTTCAAACTGAGATATCAATCTACAGTATACATTTGTATTTTGCAGGAGTTCAGGGACAAAGCCAAACTGGCAACACTCGATGTAATAGGAGAGGCAAAGATTTCTAAATACAATTAAACTTGTCCAGCAGAATATGCGTCTGTTCTCACTCCCATTAAAGCCTTGACTTAACTAATTTAAAACAGAGTATTGTATGGATGTGTGGATTTATTGACCGTACTGTTTGTTTGCGATTACACAACTTCACGTAATGGGAATCTTGGCCTGATGTCCAAAAGCAGGATGAGGATTAGAGTGGTGAAAGCTGCTACAGTACTCAGACTGCTGAAAGGGACTGTGAGTCCAAGTGGATCGAGGGATATAAAAAGGAAAGAGAAAGAGAGAGGGGGAAAGAGAGAGGGGGAAAGAGAGAGGGGGAGGGAGGGTGTGGGCTGATTCCCCTGATTTGAACCTGAGCGTACACACACAAAGTCAAACAAGGCCACTGCCCGCTCTACTCTCAGGCAGTCAATGTCTGCCTTCTATTCGAAGATCTAATAAAGCTTCACATACACATGAATGCACATGCATTCACATTTGTGCTCTTTAATGCGAGAACAGTCGCTGACATAATATATTCACTAGGCCCTAACTTTAACCCTTAAAGGGTGGGCTCTATGATTTACTGTTACACTACGGGGATTAAGAATGGTCAAAATCAAAGCTGCAAAAGACTTTTATGTATGGGTTTGACAAAAACACCACAATACATAATGGACCTTGATATAGTGATATAGTCTCGATAGAACCTCCCTGAGTGGTAAATAATGCCTGTGTCTTTCAAACTCCATATGCCAAGATTAAAAAACAGACTGACTGTTAAAAATGTATAGTCTCAAAATTTGTTTGACTCTTCAAAGCTCCTCCAGAGCCAAAAGATATTATGCAACTCTCAGAGACTGAAAAGTACTCCTCATAAGTCATGGCTAGTAAACTGACTTTGACATGTACATCTGGTGGTGTTTAACCGTCACAACATCACAGCAAAGCTTACTCTCACCTCAACCTAAACCTCAACCCTAACCCTACTCTAACCAAGTCTTAACCTTCAAACAGCCCTTTGAAGACGTGACAACTGAGCAAGCATCCTCGCTCTCACAAAGATGGAAGTACAAGAACACACACACATTGTTCTGCTTGAACATATGCTAGCCTTTGATTTTATGTATGAGCATTATACAGCCTCCAGGATATAACGTATAATATAGTATTCACACAATAATAAAGATAAAAAACTATAATGAGCGACTGTTGCTCAATCCTTTACCTTTACTACACGATCTGTGATGAAATGGCTACCCTTTTGCAAACAAAGCTGCTACCCGTGTTCTTACAGTTAGTAGCTGTTTTAGATGTTAATTGGCCCTGAAGGTAGGATTGTGCGATTCTGGAGGAATCCAGTGTCGTGACAGAATACCATGATATAGTCCAAACAATGACACAATAAGTAACTAACATTAGTAACTAACATTAGCTATATTGTTGGTTGATTTGCAAAGTGTTGCTAAAGTTGCTGCTGCTAACATGCAGAGAGGATGAGGCGGTTTCCCAGAGCCTGCACACCAGCTCCAGACAGCAACACTCACAACTCTCCTGCTAGCTAACGTCACAACAACAGCTTATCTTGGCATAAATTAAGTAATCTGAATGTCTGTGGGCAAGTAAGTTAACATTACTTGACACCCAAATCCTGTTGGAATGGCTGGAGTAAGAAATTAATGTTATGTGGCTCAGTCTGATCCACTTCGTTTGTCTCCCATTTACAGAGCCAAGGCTGACACCAGAGTTTTGTTCAGCGCACACAGAGTGGAGGTCTAGCAGACTGTTTGGAATAATTTAGAATTATTTACCCCAACTTTAAAGGACATTATAAGAAGGGTAATATGAGTTTAATTTTTGTATTAAAGGTGCCCTGTGTCATTTCTTTGTAAACAGAGTTTCTGTTTACATTCAGTGTTATCATAACCAACTGTGTGCACCCTTGACGTTGTAACAAATTTGCTAAATGTATTTTCCTCATCATAAAAAATGTCAATTAATTTCGTTTTAAATCCATGTTCACTATCTTGTCTTCCTGACAGCCTTTGTTAGCGTATTTTCCGGCACATTATTACCACATGTTGATCAGTGAAATAATGTGAGACCACTGAATGCGTGTTACGTGAGCGGTGTGGTTGTGCCTGTGCATCATCATGCCTGCAGAATATCTACCCAAAGCACTGCAAGACAAATGCTTTCTGCCTGGGTTTTCAAGGTTTAAAATTCACACACGCACACATCATTGCTTTCATATTTTGCACAATATTGCAGTTACATAATCCACGGCACAGTTTGGACACATTGTCAGTGAAGCATGTCCAGTGATGTAGCCATTGTTGACTGTTATAACGTCAACCTTCAGCACAACACGTGTGGTTATGTTTGGAGTCATGGAAGATCAGAGCTGATGTTCAGAGATGAGTCAGTTCAGTACAAAGACACTGTACCAGAAATAGTACAACTTAACTCTGTGTCTATGAATAATTCTACCTTACCCCATCACGGCAAATGTCTTATAGAGTGGTTTCTGTACTGAGACAGACACACTGCAGTGAGAGAACAAATTACACATGATAAACATACCTGCAAAGCTTCAATGTGTTAGCATTATTAGTGTAGCATGCTGATGTTAGCTTTTAGCTTAAAGCAATGCTGGGCCTAAGTACAGCCTCCCAGAGCCACTAGCTGTATATTCTTAGTCTTGTTCAGGATCGAGATTTTTGTTTGTTTGTTCAAAACAGTTAGATTTTTACGAGTCCAAAATGACTTGTTAAGATGGATATTTTTGGCAGTGTAAGCCCATGCTCCAGGAATCTGTTAGCATTTCTGGGAAAATAATTTCCAAAAAAAAGAGGCAGGAACTGAAGTCAAAATGTTTCAGATAATCTAATTTGTTGACAACTGATTCAGCTGAACCTCAGGACATCAGTTTCTTTTCACAGAATTTCCCCCCCAACCAGTCTGTGCGCACCACTGCATCACACACATGCACCGGCATTTAAAAAAAATTGATCTGTCAAGAGTATAGAAAAAGGTCAACAGTGTCATTGCTGTTAGTAAATGGACCAGAGGGGATCTGCATAAATTAAAGGATGAGAAGTTAACTGCTGCTCTGTTTTGGAGAAACTGGTGAAATTGACACAGAGATAGAGATGTTCAGTGTGAAGCATTTCCACATGCAGAGAGGAAGTATCCCTGTCAAGCAGATTGCTCATGGAACAATGTTCCTTTTTTCTGTGCAACGTCACCCCAACTGACCTTCCAGCACCGCACAGTCCTCACATGGTCTCTTTGTGTATGTGTGTGTGTGTGTGTTACATAACAGCTCCTTTCCATTCAAACTATCAACATGCATTCAAGTGACTCGCTCTCTCTGTACAGCTGTCTTTACATTCTTCACTTACAATGCATGGTTATATAATTTATAGATTAACTCACAAGTGCAGCTTCTATTGGTCTTACACAGTGAGGCCAACAGTCTCTGAAAAAGGAGAAAACACACCTAGTTAGTGACATTACACGTTTATTCTTTGACAGTGGCAGCTGTCTGAAAATCTACATAATATATAATGGTATGGTGGAAATAAAAATATAATCATATGTTCTGTTTGTGCCAGTGTTAGCAGAGAAACAAAGAGGTCACATAATTCCATGTAACTGTGTTACTTTGAACTCCTCGTTATGGGTGCTCACCTACAAAGAGCAAATGAGGACAACTCAAGTCAGCCTGACATTTTTTCTCTTTTGCCTAAAATACAATTTCAGTAAAACACAGACTCTATAAGTCTGTTAAATTAAACCATCATACTTAAGAAATAGTGGAGAAGCAGCCCTAGTTCTTGCTTTATAATTAATTTTGTTTGAAAATGCAGTACCCAGTTACGACTGAGTCAAACATGTTGTGTAATTTACTAGGACCCCTTTGACCAGTTTCAAGCCTCTGTGTGTGACTGTGTATGTAGAGAGAGAAACGCGCTATGTGGCTTGTGATAATTTCTTCCAGTTTTACTGTAAAAACAACTTGTCCATCAACTATAAAGCCTAAAAACTAAATTGAAAAACTAAAGCATGACTTCTGGGTACAATTGTAAAAGTAAAGTCCTTGTTGTTTAAAGACACATATTACATATAATGTCTTTGATACGGTTGTCCTGGTGGCGCAGGGAAAAAATGCATCTTCTGCAACTATCTTAGCCATGCTAAAAACTACTACATTGATTGGCACAAAATGTGCTGCAGATAATTATGGTGCTCAGACAGTAATAACTTTGGTGATCCCCTGCCATTTCCTATAATCATTGGGTCATAATTTCAACTACTATACTATGGCTTTTTACTAAATACCTGCAAAGCTAATCTCATTCCCATCAGCCTCATGCATGTAACAGCCTCAGCTGTACTTTGTGTTGAGTGCTAATTAGCAATTGATGCCTTATAACATGCTAAATGGTATTCATTTTACCTATTTCAGCTACTTAACATCAGCATGGACATTGTCCGTTTTGAACGTGTGCTGCTGTCAAGTGGTCTCTCAGCATGGCTGTAACTTGTTAGTGTATGAATATGTCCAAATTTCAATCTGCATTTAAGACCATTTAAGGACCTACCTGTGGCAGTAATTGCTTTACACACAGAGAGTAAGAGCTAGCTAAACACTAGACAATAACCTGTTTATAATATTCACCTCATGTCAGTTGTAACTGGTGTAAACCTGAGGAGCAGTTTGTCTGAGTTCTTGATTAAAATTAATAGGAAAGCTCTATTTAAGAGAGATTGTATGAGGAAGGTATTTTTTTGTAAATGATTTATTAGATTACAATGGTAACCTTCTGGATAATTTGTTCTTTAAGATAAATATAACTTAAGTTGTACTCATAGAAAGTTCAGTAAGATTTGCAAAGCAATCCCTCTCTGCTGATTCAGTTACAGAAAAATACCCTAATATACTCAAATGTTGAATCTGTGTTGCCAAATTTAGTGATTTATGACTGTGACTAGAAGAATTACAACAGCAATAACATGTATTGGTGCGGTTCTGAAGTCAAGTGAGTGTTTTATGATTATATTAGAGGGTTGTAAACTTTTTCTATCATGGAAAAAGCACATTCAAAATGTATGAAATGGTCTATTTCCCCTAAGGCTAAACAAACTCATATTTTAAACTAATTCACAAGGCTTACCCGGTTGCTGAAGGTTAAAATGTGAAGTGGACTCTTGTACCTTTTGTAATATGGCAAACGAAACATTAGAGCACAGGTTTTTTTCATGTCACGTGCCTGAAAGATTTTGGTTTGACATACAAAAAATTGGTTATCACTAAAGATTAACGACATTCCGGCTTTTGACATTTCTCATATTTCTTTATGTTTTATGACAATTAAAATTAATCTATCTCTGACATCACATGATTTATGCCCCCTTTTGTTTTGTTTTTTAAATTTTAGCTCCTTGTGGTTTTATTTAGTTTCTCATCTATGCCTGAAGATTAAGATTTACTTTATGTTTCCATATGTTATTATTCTTATGAATCCTTTCCCCTTTTTTTGTTTCATGTAGTATTTCATGTATGCCTTCTTCATGAGTCCCTGTGTGTTATTGTGTGTTTAAAGGTTGATGGATGATTGGTTAAAAAAAAAAAGAAGGTTGTCTGAGTTGAAATCCCAGGGGCCACTCATAATGACAGTAGAGGCAGCCATTGGCTAATTATGACTGAGACATCAGATACAAGTTCTGTTGGCAGGCCAGTAATACTGCTGTTATAATAAAACAAGTGATTGTTTTATTAAACTGTCACTTATTAGGCACAATGTCAGCTATTTGTTGAAGTCTGAGAACATGTTGAGGCTTTTTTAAATCTCAGCCTCGTTTTCGTTTTTCTGTCCTTCGACTGGCAGTGTCCTGTCATTAATATATCATAAATATATCATCAATATATCATACATATGTCATGAATACAATTTAAACGATGTTAAAGAAGCAAGCTGTTGGGGTTTCTTTTAAAAGCAGCTCGGTGTCGTTGCTGTGTGTTTCTGTGTGTCTCCGCTGGTTTGACTCAGTTGGCTTCCCGTTAGGAGGGGGAAGGTGGGGAGGGAGGGGGGTCACCCGGGGTGAGGATCCGACCCCAGCTGAACCGAGGAGCGGTGGGGGGAGAAACGACAGAGAGATGCGGAGCTTTTTAGGAGCAGAAACATCCAGACAACCTGTGAAGCTCCACCACATGTCTCCTCTCTCCGATAGAGGAGATTCTCATCAAAGCGTCCAGCAGCTGATTTGTAAGTAATCTTAAGTCTTTATGCTTTCTGACTTATCACTGATCTTACTGGGTTTTATCGCGGGAGGTGATGTGATGTAGAAAGTTTGCCAATTATTTGTTTATTATTGTTGATTATTATCCCATATCGGATTAAAAATGATGATTTCATATGAGCTGTAGACTGCTTTTATATAAGCAATAAACATAAACATGTATTATCTATTTGGGATTTAAGGTTTAATGAAAACATTTTGGTAGTTATAACATGAATTATAACTGGTTATGATCAGTGTGTAGCAACTAATTATTAATAATAACTAATAATCTTCTTAATCAAACTCTAAAAAATACGTTTTAAAGGAATAATAAACACTTTGGATTTTTGGATCACATTTTCTTTTGTTTCTCTTTTTCCCTCTTTATGAACTGTTTGTATGGTCATTTTATTGCTATAAATGTGATACATTAACATTTCATTGTTGAAGTAGCCTACAGATAAAAATAGTTTTGTTTTTATGAGTTTATATTGATGTGTAGTTATCTCACTGTAATGCTTCTATGCGTTAATTTATTATAAGTGCTTTTAAAAATATATACTTCAGTATTTTCTTGCTGTTGAATATATTTCAACATTCAACTGGCAGCCATATAATGTCCATTTAATGTTTTACAACCTTTTGGTCACAAATGGTCACCTCACCACATGTGTTTGTGTTTTATCACCACTAGGTGGGGCCATTACAGCACACTTCAGCCAACACAACCTGAGTAAGTTCCTCACACACCTCACAGCTCACCTCCAGTGTCAGATCAGGAGTGTTTGAACATGACGGGTCAGACTGTGGGAGGCACCATCCAGGACCTGTCAGTGCCCTCACTGATGGCTGTGGAAGGACTCGGGTCCAGGCCTCTGGGAGGGGCCGGGTCCTTCACTGATGAGGCTGTTTCCATACTGACCTCCACAAGCCAGCTGGCCCGAACCCTCCTGGGTCGCACTTTTGCCCTCAAACGCAAAGAGAGCCTCACCAGCGCTGAAGCCAAGGCTGGTAGCAGCGGCGATGAAGAAAGCGGCAGTAGTACACGTCGCAAACGAGAGTTTATCAATGAGGAGAAGAAAGATGAAGGCTACTGGGACAAGAGGAGAAAAAACAACGAGGCAGCCAAGCGGTCCAGAGAAAAGCGGCGAGCCAATGACCAGGTGCTGGAGCGGAGAGTCCTGGGTCTGCTGGAGGAGAACGCTCGCCTGAGGGCCGAGCTGTTGGCCCTGAAGTTTCGCTTCGGCCTGGTCAAGGACCCATCTGACGTGTCCATCATGCCGCTGTCTGCACCCCTCTGTCCTCACCCAACACCCAGCACAACACATTTCTACCAGCCTCACACTGAAGGATCCTCGTATCACAACGCGCAGCCCAGCCCCAGCACCCACCACATCCACCCTCACCCTCCGCAGCAGGGTCCAATGTTTGGACAGAGGGGAGCCAGGCCTCTGTCAAATCCTAGTGTATCCGAGGAGTCCGGTGTCTCCACCTCATGTAGCTCAAATGTGGGCAGCCCTGTGTTTTTTGATGGCATGCTGAGTGAGCGTGGCGGCCCTTCTCCAAGGGAGCTGGCGGAGGAGCAGCAGTGCTACGACTCCCACGCCTGTCCCCTGGAGGTCAGCGTGAGTCAGTATGTAAACAGACAAGACTCATCCGAGGGTTTGAGGAGCCTCCCTCACAAGCTCCGCTTCAAAGGCCCCAGCAGTTGTAGCGATGTAGGGGAGATGTCTCCATCCTCTGATACCAGACACAGTGGACCACCTGTAGCCACAGTGGGGCCAAACATCCAGGTGAGAAACCACCAGCAAGGGGGGTGGGACAGTCGAACAGAGAGTCAGGCTCCTTGGCCCAGAGAGGAGTCCTGCGGTGGACTTGGGCAGCAGTATCAGGGCCCATCCTCTGGATATTATAACTCATCTTCTCTGCCGAACTCCAGGGACACCAAGTATTCGACAGATGACATCAGTCTCAGGTCACAGATCAGCTGCTTGTCTCAAGAAGTGGCTCAGCTCAAGAGGCTGTTCTCTCAGCAGCTCTCCAAGACGGCTTAAAACCTGCGCACAAGAGGATCAAGTCTGGACTAAAGTTAATAGACAGATTTCACACAGCATCTTTCCAAACCATCAATCTTACAGACTGCTGATTTCCATAGGCCAGCATGGCCCAGTGTAAACAGCTACCTCGGAAGTAACTGGCCATATTTATGACACCTGTTTCACTGGTAATGCTTAGTTTAGGAGCCTGTTTGTTCTGTGATGATCAACACATTTACCTTTTAAAATAATGCTTAATGACTACAAAACTAAAGTGATTTCACTACATATTGACTTCCTGACATTTGAAGGACACTGTACGTTTCTGAATACTTAACTGAGCAGGTCTGTCAGAAACACTGGAACATGTCACATACATGTTGTCTTGACTCAGATGGCCATTTTGTCTTCTTTGGGACAACATACAGTTTGTAGGCTTTTCAACACAAACTGTTTATCCATATTACGATGTGTTAAATATCTTGTGTTGCCCGAAGGAAGACAGAGAAGTGTGTTAAAAAATATCTTTTTTGTTTTTTTGATCTTTATATGTTGTTTACTGTATCTGGTTTATCTTATGACAGCAAGGTACAGTACAAATAATTGTGCATTTCATCTTTGTTCAGAGTAATTGTAATTAATTGTACTTGAAAATAAAAGTATATTTTATATAAAATATCTTCTTTGAATCTTGTTTGCCTCTTAAACAGTCTTTTGAGATTATATAACTGTATTATGTATCTAATAGTGATGCCAAATCACCAGATGAAATGCGTGTGACAGTTACAGTAATAACATCTTTATTGATAACTTACAGAGATTACTGTTCTGTATTTATACAGCCATCAACCTGCAATACGCAATAAAGTTTTAAGCTTTTTTAAACTGCATTTTGCATTACATCACAGGCAAGGGTGGCTGAATCTGAGGCAGAGAGAGCTAAGGTAGGTGTGGCACTGGAGTGAGGAGGTGCACTGCGCAAGAGTATGAATATGCCACAAATTTCATTTTCAGCTGAACTGATATCGTTTGAATTTCCTTTATTGTCCTCAATTCATTTACTAAATGCTTTGAAACTGCAAACACCACCATGGCATCACTCCACCCTCACTGAACTAAGGTTCCTGAAATGAGGTGGGGCAGTGGGGTGTAGGACAGTGCCAGGGAGAGAGGGGTGGTGTACGGACGCAGGGAGTGGAGTGAGACTCTGCATGAGTCATCTATCACGTCAGCAGTGTGTGTCTATTTTTAGCAATGAAGCAGCTGCAGTGGAGACTGATTGGCCCATATGGAAGTGAAGGATACAGGTTCAGAATACATTAACACCTGGAAGGAGTACAAGTCTGCAGATGGACAGCAGTAGAGGTGCTGACAAATACATTCTGATGGCGTTGCAGAGCAGGAAAGCTGCAATAAATACACTGAATTATTCATTTTTGTCTGAGGATATGTTTCACTTGACTGAATGTCATTATTCTGTATTAGCAAATTCTTGAATATTTCCATATTCAGTATTTAGTGTTTTTTTTTTATCAACACCAGGTGGCGCCATGTGTCTTTATCAGCAGGGATCACTGAGTCTCATTCATTCATTCATTCACAGCAGTGTTACTACAGAGGTCGTCTCCTCCATTGTGCTTACTGTAGTACCACATGCTGCACATGCAGAACAAGCAAGGATGTCATTTTGTGTTGGAAGTACAGCATTCCCACATTCAAATGATCTCACCTTTATTCAGAAAGCCTGATGTGAGAACAAGGCTTGAGCATGACAATTTACATGACTTACACATAATAATTTTAATGAAAATGTGTAAGGTTAAGCAGGTAACATCAGACTCGTGCAGCTGCAGAGACTCCCCTTCTTTAGACTCTGACCCTGACAACAACAACAAGAGATACACATGCGATCCTTTGTCTGCAATCAATCTTCATCCAGCCCAGTCTCCAAACCCCCCATTCCATAAGCAATATAGGAAGCAGAGAGAGCCTTCTGGTTGCTAGGCAGACACCACCACACCACAGTTGCCAAGGGAATGCCTGCATGCAGAGAGATGGAGGAGTGTGTTGGGGGTTGGTGGTTATAGCAGAGTACTGGTGGGGGGAGGAGCGAGACAAGTTCAAGGCCACTGTTTCCATGGTCTAATGGTGGTGATGACGGTGTGTGTGCGTGTCTGTGTGTGTGTAGTGAATGGGTGCATGTGTGTGGGCTGAGACAAAGCAGGGGGAAGGGATGTGAGTGAGAAAGTGGGTTGGAAGTGGATGTGTGTCTTATACAAAACATGGCTGACGTAACTGCTCATGAAATATGGCGGTGATGTGGACAACAGGCTTTGTGGGATAATAGAAACGCTCCTAAGCAGATAATACACATAATTTGCTGTAAAGATGGAAAAATTACAAAAACAAAGAAGATAATGAAAAAAAAATTAACATTACGACACATTTATCAATTGTAGACAAGGTTGTTTTTTTCCTGTTATACTCCATCTTAACGGCCATGAATAGTGATAGTGATTTCCATATCAATGTTTAGTTATATAGTATTTAGTCTATTTTAAGTGACTTCTTACTGTTTTGTTTTAAAACAAATGAGATGGGAATCTAGTATTTATTATTTCTACTATTAATTCTGAATATATTAGAATCTAAACAGATGGATTATATTTTTTATTATTTAAAATGAATGGAGAATTACTTCAACCATGAAAAAAATAGCAGATCAATGTGTTTTTAAAATAATACCACAATAAACACCTTAAAGTCCCCTCCAGTCAAAAATCTGATTTTCTTCTTGTTCCTACAGTGTGGTGTTTGAGTTTCACTGTGCAGAATGACGTATGTGCAGAGTTTGACACTAGAAGGATGTTTTCACATTCATCTGCTGA